TGAATCACTGCCAATATTTTTGTCATTCGTCTGTATAATCTGTCTTTGACTTTGTCATTCGTTTGGTGAACTCTTGTCATTCGGCTGATAAACCAGCCATTCCCTTGACATTCTTATTGTTATTCATCTGTCATTCGTGTGTTAAACCTCTGTCATTTTTATACGTCCACGTGAAACTCTGTCACTCTCTTTGTCATTGGTCTGGGGAACCTCTGTCATTTTGTTTGTCATTCGTGTGGTGAACCTGTGTGATTGAGTTCGTCATTCGTCTGGTGAACCTGTCATTCTGTTTGTCATTCGTGTGGTGAACCTCTGTCATTTTGTTTGTCATTCGTCTGGTGAACCTCTGTCATTCGTCTGGTGTACCTCTGTCATTCGTCTGGTGCACCTGTCAAAATGTGTGACCCGGAGAATGACGCAGCTTCACTGGACGAATGACGGAGGTTGGTCAGACGAATAACAAAGTCAATGACAGTGGTTCAGCAGACGAATGACAGATAATGACACACGTTCACAAGACGAATGACAAAGAGAATGACACGGGTTTACCGGACGAATGTCACAGCTTCACCAGACGAATGACAAAGAATACAACCGATTCGCAGGACGAATGGCAAAGTGAATGACAGAATTCACTGGACGGACGAATGACAAAGTGTGTGATACAGAAAATAACACAGGTTCATCAGACGAATGACACAGAATGACAGAGGTCCATCCGATGAGTGACACAGAATAACACAGGTTCACCAGACGAATGACAAAGTGAATGACAGAAATTATCTCAGACGAATGACAAAATGTATGTCACTGCAGTTTACTGGACGAGCGTACACTAAATAGGAAATAATTTTTACCTGCAAATACTTCAAACGTCTTTATTTATTTTTCTAATGCATAAATAAATGTTTAAGAATTTAATTTGTCGGACGAATAACAAAGAGAATGACAAAGATTCACCAGATGAATGACAGAATAAGACAGATTAGCCGGACGAATGACAAAATGAATGACAGAATTCGCCGGACGGACGAAAAAGGTGAGTGAACACGTCTCATGTCATTCTCTTTGTCATTCGTCTGTTATTCAATTTGTCAGTCTTCTGGTGAAAAAGGCATTATCTTTGGCATTCAATAAACAAAACTATTAACTATACTATTTCATAGAATTAAATAAAGCTATGGAATCTTACTTGACATAATTTTTATGCAAGAAAATAATAAATAATATCTAGATTCGGTTTATCGTTCCAGTGACTTGTTACTAGATTGATTTATCCTAAATATAAATTTTACTGGTGGATCGATGGCGGAGGCCACGGTGTCACCACTAATAAAGAAAAAATAAGTCGATAGTTATTAAACTCAGTACTGTAGTTGAATTATATTGGCCTAAAGGGAGCAGTTATTGCTTAGAAATTCCTTGTCATTCGCTTGTCATTCGTCATGCAGTTCTGCGCCTTGACCAACGAAACATGGAAAGTATCCGTTGATTTTCCAAGCCAGGTTCTCACTTGTCAGGACCCATTAATAAAATGGTATACATAGAGCAACATACTTGGATTGTAGTTGGAATTCTCATATGGTGGGAACACCATGATTCCCTTTCGTAGCCTATACATGGAAGCAACTTTAGGATAACACGAACCAATTGTATTCTGAGAAATGATGTTATAGACCAATTTCAACAACTAAACCCAAAATATATATAACCCTGTAACTTGACCCTGTAACAATAAGAGTGTACAAATCAGCTACACAGTGTTAGTTTTTATATCTGTAAAATCTCGAGCAAATCAACCCATATGAACCCCTTATAAGTAGCTCACAATTTACGGTTGTTTACATTTGATATGATTGTCTCGTTAAAAATAGTTTAGTTGTGATGGCCAGGAGAGCCGATTTTTCAGATCATTGACCCACCCAAACACATTTCTAGCCAATTTTACTATCACCAGTTATTTAATCTTGTTATCTTGCCATATTTAATCTTGTTATGGGCTAGCTATAAAGTCAGTTCATGTTCATGGTTACGGTAGTCTCTATCATTCAGACAAATATTCTGCGAATATTAGTCTTGATAGGTTGTCAACGTGTGAGAATAACTAGGTAATTGGCTAGAATATCCAGCCTTTTTACATTATCGTGAACCAAATCTAGGGGAGGTAACTAGCCCTAAAACAAGATGTTGACGCCCATGAAATTAATTTAAAAATTGCCATTTCAGAAAATGCATTTGCATTGCCAATATCTAACACGCTTAGTTTTTTATTCTAAAATTTCTCGCTTCGTGGACCATATGTCTTTTATTGATCCTAATCCGTAGTCACGATTCGTGTTTGTTTATAATAATGCATGAATTTTGGGATTTATTTCGGGAAGGAGCGCAACTTTTACTTGACCTGGCGAAATTTCCTGGATAATCAATAATCAACCACATAAAAACAAACTACAGGTTGCGCATGGGCAATGGAAGGTTTCAGCTAATGTTGACAACTGGCACAGACCCTCCGTACTTTGAAGACTAGAAGGTTCTGGGTGACCGAGACTAGGGTTACGGTGGTGTTAGCCCAGTGAAGCATTGGTGTAACGCTTTGCTAAATCAACCCCAACCCTCAATTGTATTTAAAATCAACCCGACTGGGGTGTTGAGATTGTGGGAAAAATGTATGCATCAAAATGAACACTATAGTTGGTCCAGGCATTTTAACTCAATTCCGCATTATCCCAGGCAGGTGCTGCAATAGAAATGCTTTGCTAAATCAACCCCAACCCCCAATTGTATGACTGGGGTGTTGAGATTGTGGGAAAAATGTATGCATCAAAATGAACACTAGTTGGTCCAGGCATTTTAACTCAATTCCGCATAATCCCGGGCAGGTGCTGCAATAGAAATGCCGAACACGGTTTATGGTCGGTCTAGACGTACATATATTATCACCCCCTCCCCCCCCCCCCCAAATAAAAGTCCCAGTCCGAAATCCGTGTCCAAATGTGTCAAATTGCCAAAATCAAAACCGAGCTTGGTATCAAAATATACGTCTTAGAGGTAGCTGAATCCGTTTCCATGCAAATTTTGGTGATTAATATATTGGGGAATAATTAAAGATGGTGGTCAGTTTTGGCGGGAAAATTCGCATTTTACAAAATGATCAAATTTGTATCAAACTATAGCCTACATTTTTGAGGTAGCTGCTTCCATTCCACCCCTACATCTAATACGATGACATTCATCAAGTATCAACTAAATTTTATTTGGACTCTCTGGCCTACCATGCTGGCCTCACTAACAGCTCACTGCGAAAGCAGTTCACTGCGGACGCAGCGTAGTGGGTCGTGCCTGAGTTTGGTCACCAGCCTCGAAAATTGAGCCAAGATAGCCAAACCTATTTAATCAGATTGGTGTGGTTTATTGTGAAGTGTATAAATACTAGCTTTAAGTACATATATTTTTTCTTAGTCATTTTTTTGTGCTCTTTAATTTTCATTTTACTGCATTTCAAACTAATATTTATATTGAACATATTTTTCTTATCATTTTAATCAATTTTCATGTCACTGCATTTCAAATTAATCTTTATATTGAAAGAAAATATTGTTACCATTTTCATTAATTTTCATATCCCTGCATATCAAATTAATCTTTATATTGTAACATAATTTTCTTATCTATATAATTTTCTCATCACGTTGCGAATTTATTTCACAAAATGATTCAAACGATGAGACACCGATGGATCCCGATATGCAGCGAGCCGATAAGGGGCCCATACACGTTCAATAATTCCGTCAATATTATTGACAATATTGAACGTGTGTGGGCTATATTGATGTAAAATATTGTCAATAACCATCATTGCGTCAATATATTGACGGATCAAAACCATTTTGATTTTTATTGATGGTTCATCAATATATTGACTGACGGTCAATTTATTGAATGACAATATTGATCGTGTGTGGAGAATCTGTCAATAATTGCGTCAATATTTTCATTCTATCGTTTTTTTCGCGTTTCTTCTTCGTCAACTGTCATGAGTAGCGCAACAGTGACCGCTGCATCCATTTTGAAAAATGACCAAAAAATGATGAAATTATTGATGGGAATATTGAATCGTGTGTGGGCAATTCCCGTCAATATTATTGAGTCAATATTATTGAGTCAATATATCGAGTCAATATGTTGGGTCAATAATATTGATGGTTTTATTGAACGTGTATGGGCCCCTTTAAACGCTGTTTTCTTCTAAAATTTGTTACCACAACTCTTGGTGTGAAGGCTTTTAAATTTAGTTTTTGGACTTAAAGATACATTCCCACGAAAGTATTTATAGGGTAGTTATTTCCAACAAAAGTATAGGGGAAGTAGAGACACCCAATCTTACAAGAAATATACTGGATTCCCTGAAAAACCAATCAGGCTAACGATTGTGAGAGGATAATCCAAGACTTTTCTTAGGCTTCGATATTCATGGTAAATGGACAGCGACTATCAACAAAGACAAGTTCAAATATTTATGTGTTGTTTAGCTCACAACGCGGCTCGCTGGGCGTATGTTTCGTTAACTGGCTACTTAGGCCTATTGTTTTAATACCAGTTTGGGCGTAAAAACTTATAGACAATTTGAGCGTCGGACTATACGCCTGTAACTTCAATGATTCCCTATAATTGCTTTGAGAAAATACTTGTCTGTATAACAGTTATAGTTATCTGAACACTTGGAATTTATATGTATTGATTTTGTTAATGTTATGAAGAAGCCTATCAGTTGTGACAAATTGATTCACGACTTATTACCCTTATCACTTATTGTCATGTAAATTTTATTTTGCAATAGAACAATAACAATATGACTACTTTTATGAATTGCTATATACATGCATGACTAAGCTTATTTGGGCGCCGCTGTTGATATTTTCAGATGATAACATACATATTGAATAAAGTAGGCTAGCTGTAAATTTTAAATCAATAGTTATGTTAAACAATGTAGCAATGACATTTTGAATGACAAGTTGATACGCTATGCTGTATAACAGAAAACAGCAAAACTTAAGCGTAAGACAGAAAAAGGACAGGGTATTCAGTTGATAAGACACGTGCCGGATATAAGAATGGCAATAGATGGTAAGATTTATATTTCCCTCATTTTAGCATAAATTGTCAGTAACAAAGACCTTGATAATGGCATTTTAGTGTAATATTCACCTGTAATTTATCCATTATTATATGTTGATCATTTGGGTCACAGATAATCTCACATAATAATAATCATGTCTTTTTTATATAAAATATCAAAACACAAATCGAAATGATAAATCAACGGGAGCCTACTCTACTGAATGTTAGTATGTTTGACATTTAAAAATACCAGTATTTGATATTTATTAGTCACCGAATATCATTCATGAACGAGAAGCAGAAGATAACATCAGAATGACTTACCAAATATACACAGAAGTAAAAAAGGTGGATATTTTACTGTAACACAATAAATAATTTAAACCCTCTGCTTACGGCAAAACCACATTCCGCCAATGTCTCTGACAGATTTCAGAATTCGCGATTTTCGTTATCATTACGTAGTTTTATTTATTTGTGACATTGTGTATTATCTCGTATTTGCATAATCAAGATGATAAAGACATTGTAAAGCAAGATGGAGAATATGTATATGAAGCTGTTATTAATACCATTGGTAAGTTACTGCTGGAAGTAAGCATACAATTAGTTTAAAGTTTTCTACCCATAGATGTGTCGACACATGAAGACAAAAATAAATCTAAAATTAGGAAACAAACCGACTTCTGCTCAGCCATTCGAAACAAACCCGTAATTAATTGGTACTAAACCAAAGAGGTTTAATTCCTTAAAGCAGATGTCCATTTTTCAGCAAGGAAATATTAAATGACCTTTATTTCTTGATTATCTGTATTAACACCTTTTGATTTGTAATGGCACTACAGAGAGCGCGATGAAACGGGGAAATTTGTAGTCGCCTTCTTAACAGTGCAGGTTTGGATCTGATCAGATGGGGTAGTAAACTTGGCCCATGATCAGATGGTAGAATGGTGTCGGACAAGGTATAAAGTAAAAAAAAAAGATAGCCACGCAAGATAACCCAAACAGCCACTATGTCTCAAAGGAAAGGGAAACTTGGGCGTTGACCAAATTTGATTGATAATTGAAAACGCCATGTAAAAATAAATGTAGTTAGTATAGTGTCATTTCATTACTGTACAAAATGAGGCTGCACATTAATTTGGAAACACTGCACGCTTATTTTATACACAACTGTCAGAACAGATGGCGAGGGAATATACCTTTGTTCAGTTGAGTCCAGTTTCTAATTATTAAAGCAAACAGATCTGTAGACTGAATCTTCATGTTAGTTACGCAACAAAATCCACCTGTTGATCAAACAACAGACAATAGATTTAAGTGTAATGAAAGGGGACTTGACAATTAATAATTGATTTCTTTTTTCAAAAGGCTTCCGAAAAAAAATCGACCATGACAGCCAACCTCCATAAAGTTGAATTTACACATCGGTTGCAATATTTATATTCCGTGAATGTAATTTCCATGGATTTGGTTCTTCATTATAGGTTACGGAAAATTCAGCGTTTTTCTCTTTTTGTTCTGCTGTTTGGCTGCAATGGCTGATGCCATAGAAATACTGTCACTGTCGATGGTAATGTCGACTGCTGTGTGTGACCTTAACCTCACAACTTTTATTAAAGGTTGGATCGATGCATCTGTTTTCATAGGTAACTGTTGTATTAATACAAATATTTGCATGTTTTACAATAAATATTCTTTCCATTAACAAGATCGATTTTGTACTTCATTGAAAACGGAAGAGATAATTAAGTAAATACTCTGGGTAATTTTGTCCTGCCACCGGGGAGTAACTCACCTCTCAAACCCTTCGGGCGAGCGGTTAAATTCATCTTCCTCGCTCAATATATGAACAGCAACTTTTTGATAAGTCAAATATTTAATGCAGTAGAACATATTTGCTTATCAAGTTAACATTAGGAAACATCAAGTCCAGCCCAATTCGAAACGATAGCCAACGCCCTAGTCACACTTACACTCGTACACCAAACCAGGAAGAACAGAATAAAAGTGAAAACGTATAGACAACGACATAAAAAAAAACATAAACACGTATTATGATGAGCAACTATTATAATTATTAGTAGACATATATATGTACTATATAATGTGGTCTTATTTATATTGATGCACAAAACATATTAATTAGTATAATGAATCAGTTTCATCAACTCGGTGATAAAAGGCATACGTCGTCAGCAGGTGACAGTGATATTTAGTAGAGTTCGGTCTTTTGAATAACCCCGCATCCACAATCAATCAGGTGAGTCTTGTTCTTCCCTACCCGAGGTTTGCACTTGATTAATTATGTTCTCTTTCATAACCGATCAACTCTTTGCAAGAGTTTGAAGTTCACTCTCGATCTTGAATAAAACGGCCACTATCTATAGGTGGTTCTATAATTTCAACATAATACATGGCTCTATGCAAAGAAATGAAATGAAATGAAATGAAATGGGGTTTAACGTCCTACTGTTCTGCTCCTAACCTGGGCTAATGAAGACGGGCATACACCATACAGTGTGCTATGAGGGAAATTTTGCCCGGGCAGCGGCGCTACGGCCTACTGTTTTATCGAATTCCAACTGCCAAGGGATCTTTTACGTGCACGCCAATGTGTACACGGGACCTCGGTTTTTCGTCCCACCCGAACGACTAGACAGCTGTCCTTGTCAGGCCCTCCATCCTGCATCACTGACAAGGGGGAAACCACGCCGGAAAATCTGAATGAACTTTCTCGGCCAATGCAGGGATCGAACACCCAACCTCCAGGAAAGCGAGCCAGCGTCTTATCCACTTAGTCACATGATATCCCTCTATGCAAAGATCTGGAACAGGATTTTCACTAGTATGGTGAGCACTATTAGGACATTTTACTTGTTCGTCTTGGATCCATGGTCTAGACTGTGGACTTCTGGAGGTTCTCCGGTCTAAGTAACAGTACTGAGTGTAGTAGTTCATACTCCCGCAAACCCATATCCGAGACCTGTGGGACTATCTGAAGAAATAAAATACAAACTTTCAGTTTTCAAGTGGAGTTGGCCATAAGTCTATAAATTCCCATACTCCTTGCAGTATATCGTTTCATTAGACCTAATCCCACTCAAGCACCGCCATACTCACCGCAAATTTCTGTCCCAAATTATAATTAGTGCAACAGTCAGATCAACAACCAATACATTACAACGTAACAAAATCAATCGGTATTAACCAACTCTAAATTATGTTGAAGTGTCTGGTCATGACAAACATGGATACATATTATCGAATACTTAAAATAATTGGTACAAACATAAACGTTTATAGAATTCATATCGGAGAGTTGACTTGAGTCAAAGAATTTTAGTTCCAATAGACAGTTTCAGCAACAGCCAAATTTACCGATGCGAGTATAGATGTTTGCTCCCGATGCATCCAAGGCCAGGGTAAAACAATTCTTGAAATTAGCACTAACAAAAACTGAGATTTTTTTAAGAGGTCACCCCCGTTAAGCGGGAGTCATAAACATTCCATTTCATTTTACTGTACTCCGGAAAGATTTGATTAGACGATGAAAATGGACACACTGCGTCAAAAACACAGGCCACTGATAAATTCCACACCTTGTAAGTGTCTGGATAGTACGGTGGCTGATTTAGGCGCGTGAGGTACCAAGTCGAGCGTTCGAGATACTAAGTCGAGCGCTCGAGATAATTAAGTCGAGCACTCCAGATAATGAAGTCGAGTGCTCCAGATAATTAAGTTAAACATACGTTATGCACGAGCTAAACCTACCTATTGCAGGTCTTTCTTTAGCCCTGTAATGTTATATAAATTATTAATTAGACATTAATTAACTTATCCAGACTATAATCAACTCTCGATGTCATCGCTAGCCTGCGATATTTACTGGATTATGATCCGATCTGCTGCTTAACGCTCATTCATTCATTTAGAAATTATGATCGAGGCTAGGTCCAACATTCAATCGCTAAATTCTCGGTTCAGAGTGGATCAATTTGACTGAAATTTACATTATCAAGTTTTTAATTATTATATAATATACGGTGGCTGGTAAAGGACATCTCAATCGATCGACTTAGTATCTCGAGCGAGATCAACTTTCTATAACGAGACTAAACTGTGTTTTATTGTACGAAAGTTCGCGGTAACCAGGCGCGTGTCCAGAGGGTGGGGGGGGGGTCCGAAGGATCTAGACCCCTGCTGTTCGCGAATAAAATATTTTTTGTTTCTCCTACATTCATCCAAATAACATTGAACAAACGAACGAGTGAAGCATTGTGATTCCTATCCAATCCTATATTATCTGTATTCGCCTAAATATTGTCTCAGACCTTCTGATTTTATAAAATCTCAGATAACTCTTAGACCTCGCCCTAAACTGCTCAAATTCCTTGACATGCGCCTGTGGTGATTGGGTGAGACGATTGAGTGAAGGCTAGGAGGTGCGTCGTTTCCTGCAGCTTCCGACTACTCTTCTCGGCAACATCGTTGCACACCGCTGGTTTGAGGTTCAAGGATAGTGCCCGAGACGTGTCCCTACTTAGCACGAGTCGATCGATCGAAATATTACGTCGATCGATCGTGATAATTTCGATGTCCTTTCCTACCCACTGTATGGATTAGACCCGTTCGATCGTATTGTCCCGCGCACCCGACTTAATTATCTCGCGTGCACGACTTAAGTAACTCGAGCAAGATGTTGTTGAGTTACTGAAATGTGGCAATCATTTCCGAACAGCCAGTATTTTGAATCGAATTAGTATATTTTGGTTTACACAATTAAGGGTGATCATGGTTGAACCGACTCCCATTTATTAAGGGTTAGGGTTAGGATCTGGATGTCCAATTAAACACCAAAATAACATGAAAATATATATATTTACAGGAATGTTTTTTGGGGGTTTAATATGGGGGCCTATTGGTGATATCACTGGTAGAAGAACAGCTTTATTAGCATCTCTTATGGTTAACTGGGTGTTTGCCTTGACGTCCAGTTTTGTTTTCGGCTATAGAGAATTTCTGGCTCTTCGAATTTTAAGTGGCTGTGGGTAAGTGCTTTATAAGTTTTTAAATGGCCTCATTTAATTTGTACTTACATTTTCGTCCTCTAGCTGTATTGGTTTGCCTGGTTTCAGTCTACTCTTTCGCATGGACATTTTACAGACTAAAGTTTGCTGATTTGCAGACCCTTCTTATGTTTATAAGAAAGAGCCTCGTCGAAGTTTCTGGATTCATCTTCTCCTAATCTTTTAGTTCGGGAAAAAAACTAACAGGCCCGACGAAGCAAAATACATACTGAAAAGGGGGAGGGGCTAGCTAAAGTGAGAATCCGGGGGCTTCCCGTAGAGCATATTTTAGTTTCTCCTACACTCATCAAAATAACATCGAGTCAACAATGTGGGCAGCATGATTATGGCCTCACTCCGCTTTAATACACCTAAATGGGCAGAAATATAATCTCAGAGCTTCAGTTTTTATATAATTCTCGGGTAATCCACCCCGGAACCCCCTCCGGTTAATTTTCGGAACATACACCTGAAACCCTTGTGTAAATGTATATGTTTAAAAGAATAACTTTTATTAACAGTATCGGTGGCAGTGTTCCTGTTATATTTAGTTATTTTGCCGAATTTCAACAAAAGAGTCATCGAGGTACTATGTTAAGTGTCCTAACTTTATTGTGGATGAGTGGTAATGTTGTCGAATCTGGTTAGTATTGGAATGTAATACAGGTTATCTGTTGTTAAAGTTGGTACATAAACAGCACTATTGTACACACAAAACACTCATGTTTATCACTGCAAACTGATAACTTTGTCATTATAAGTAAAATTCTTACCATTATGCCAATCTCAAAATAGTGGGTTGACGAGCTGCTAAAGTTAAACCCCATTCCATTGCAAGATTATACATTTTATTGTTTCGTCCATCTGAGACAGTAGATAGAAGATATATTTTTGAAACTATTTCACAAAAATTTGGTACAATACTCACTGAGATATCACTAATACAAGTGGAAATGCAAATTTTCTAACAATAAATGTAGATAGCAGTCTTGTACCCACACAGCTTATAAATACACTAACCAGATGATAAGATTTAGTATCAAAATAACAAGATAAACTTTTCGAACCATTCAGCCAAAATTTGTATGAAATTCACTGAGATTGCACTAAATGGGGCCAACATTTATGAATTTTCGGAATGCTCCCGAACTACTCTTGCAATCCTGCACTACAAAAGCTCGCTTCATCCCTGATTACGTTATTCACTTCACAACCTATATGTACTTTTCAGGATTAGCTTGGATAATTCTTCCAGACCAAGTGGGATTTACAACATCTGTGATTGACTATAGAGGATGGAGATTGTTTATATGTCTGTGTGCTGTTCCAAGTTTCGTCTCTTTTATAGCATTTATATTTATGCCAGAAAGCCCCAAGTATCTTCTACAGGTATATATGCACCATGTTAATGCACGTTGATGACCTTGGCTATCATTAATAATAATAATAATAATAATAATAATAATAATCATTTTGTATAGCACTGAGTGCTCCAGCTAACAGCTGCTCCGCGGCGCTTTTCACAATTAAAATATTACATATAATATAAAACAAATAGTTCTAAAACATTAAAATGTCAACATGTTCATAGTTTAAAAGCACGTTTAAAAAGTTCGGTTTTAAGATTTTTTTTAAAAACAGCAACGTTAGTAGAGTCTTTTACATGTCTAGGTAATTCATTCCACACGTTAGCAGAGGCGTAAACAAAAGCCCGTTCACCAGTTTTAGTTTTTACTGTAGGAACATGAAGTAAGTTTTTATCAGCAGAGCGTAGGTTCCTGCTTGGTTTATACGGGGTTAAAAGTTCATTAAGATATCGTGGGGAACAGTTATTATTTAGACAATTAAAAGTTAGAAGACCGATCTTCAAATTAATTCGTTGATAAACTGGTAGCCAATGAAGATTTTGGAGTACTGGAGTAATGTGTTCAGATTGTTTAGTTAGAGAAACGATACGTGCAGCTTTGTTCTGAATTTTCTGGAGTCTGTTTATATCTGATGCTGGTAATTGGTATAGAAGCGAATTGCAGTAATCTAGTTTGGAGAGAACGAAAGCGTTAGTTAACATTTTAGCGATATTTGACGTTATAAATGGTCGAAGTTTACCAATGTTGTAAAGATGAAGATTTAATGATTTGCAGGTAGTAGAGATGTGACTTTTCATTTCAAGATCGTGATCAAAGTAAACTCCAAGATTTTTAACTGATTGAGAGGATGTTATTGTTGAATCACCGATTTTAACGGATTGAGAAAGAGATTTTCTGCTGATTAAGATGACCTCTGTCTTATCATCATTTAATTTTAGGAAATTAAGATTCATCCAATTTTTTATGTCATCTATACAAGCCTCAAGTTTACAGATTTCGGTGGAGTCACTCGGTGGTTTCAAAGCAAGATACAGTTGTGTGTCGTCAGCATAAAGATGAAAGTTAATTCCATGTTTTCGGATGATATCGCCAATTGGTGTTGTGTAGGCAGTGAATAAAAGGGGACCAAGAACCGACCCCTGCGGAACTCCAAAGCGTAGGGTTTTGGGAGACGATGTTGCTTTCTCAATGACTACATACTGTGACCTGTCAGTTAAATAAGAGCGTATCCATTTTAGACATAGTTCATCGACGCCAAAACGTGTTTGTAACCGGTTTAATAGAATATCATGATCAATAGTATCAAAGGCGGCACTTAAGTCTAGTAACACTAATACGACAGACTGTTTATTATCTATGTTAGTAACAATATCGTTATATACTCTCAGCAGTGCTGTTTCAGTGCTGTGACCCTTCTTATATGCTGATTGAAATTGTTCGTCAAGATTGTTAATAACAAAATGGTGTTTTAGTCTCGTGGATATAACTTTCTCAATTAGTTTTGATATGTATGACAGATTAGACACAGGTCGAAAGTTCTTTAAGTTATTCGGGTCTAGATTTGGTTTCTTCAGTAGCGGTTTAACATGGGCGATTTTTGTGAACTGGCTTACATTACCATGCATAATTGATGTGTTAACAATATGTGTAATTATTGGTAAGAGTTCATTTATATACAGTTTAAGTAACCATGTTGGTATTGGATCAAGGTTGCATGAAGAAGACGAAGATTTACTTATCAAATCCTTGAGTTCTGTATTAGAAGCAGATAGGCTTGCATGCTTATCTCTAGTTAATATACAGTGAAATTCCACCTTCTGTGATATCAGTTTATCACAGGCTTTGTTTCAATAAAGAATTTGACTTGTATACAAACCGTCAGAAATTGTTGTCCATCTGCTAACTAAACATACATGTATCGGTGGAATGATCGTATATCTGTGTCCGTGGAGCATCAAATTTTAACTTTGGATTTATATGCCACAAAATCACAGCATTATTATGCCACTGATCATTATACCATTTGTTACAGCAAGGTAAGGAAGATGAAGCAATACAAATTTTACAGAAAATATACAAAATGAACAACGGAAAAGAATTATTCGTAAGTATTTGTCTGTTTCGGAAATTATTAATTGTATTATCATCTGTTACCTGAAACATTATCACATTATATTTGAATGGAACATTTTCTATCTTTGCATGTTTTTATACACCTATGTTGTGAGTGTACATTGTCATCACTTATTGTGAACTCTATAGTCTTCAAAAAACAATCACCAGAACACACAATTGGTGCACGACACTTCTGTTCTCTTTTCGCGTCGCATGGGTGCGAACAGTACAACAAATAAAAGAACCACATCCGTCTTATCATTTGCATGCTTAATTCCTAAATAGCTCCAAAATAGTGTTTTATCTCCCTAAATTTTATAAATATTTTGGGTCAGCCTCATAATCCACCCCTTTACTTTATCAAAGACCTATTTTGTATAATGTTGCATATTCTATATTATACCTAAGGAGATAAAGAAACTAATTATTGGTGATACAGAAAAAGATCAACTTATTAATAATACAACAGACACCATACCAAACAAGAGTTCAAATGTTTGTCTATTTTCAAGGTTTTTCAGCACAATAAAAGCCGTGAGTAAAACAGAGTGAATTGATATGTTTTTTTTCTTCAAATTCTATGTTTTTGAGTTGTGGTTATTATTGAGTGTAATGAATCTGTGATCGCAAATAATAGATGTCTTGCAAATATTAACATTTAAAAATCTAATGATATGGGGTTTTTTCTGTGGGTATAAATTTTGTTTCTGTGGTGCACCGATAAATGATTCCTTGCCTTGTATGCCACCATCTATCATTTATATGTCATTATTATTTTTAAACAGATTTTTAGAAAGTTGGCCTCATTATTTAACAGACACTATGCATTAAAAACTATACTTCTGTCAATAATATCTAGTACATTTTCATTCGGGTATGTATGACCATCTAGATGTTACATTTATCTTTTAAAATTCAGTTGTAACCGTTTATTGGAATATTAATAATTTTGCAACTGAGTCGATCCCAGCTTTGATGTTACATTTATCTTTTAAAATTCAGTTGTAACCGTTTATTGGAATATTAATAATTTTGCAACTGAGTCGATCCCAGCTTTGACACAAATTTTCCCTGCGTACATGCAGAAGACTTGCATTGTCTCAGAAATATCTAATCTCCGATAGTTAGGAGCGTTTCCACTTAAAATTTGAAGCTAGCTTGGACAACTGTCTCTAAGCGGGCAATGTCCGCTGGCAGTCCCTATCCCTTCTTATATGTAGCTACAAATTGTATAATACCGCTCATCTCCACCTCTGGTCTAGGCTATTTTGGAATCCTTATCGACTATTTTTCACCGTGATTCATCTTTGTTTGCCAAAGGAATAATTTCTTGCCACGGCTGACACACATTTATAATAATTCAACACTATTTTCAAGTAGAATATTGCGATTAAAACATACACAAAATACGTTTGAACTGATCAGCCATTACGAAACTCGAACATGCGCAGACCGTATTCGCTAAATTCTACTTGAAAATAGTGTGTTAAATTTTTATAAATTTGTGTCCGATATCTTGAGAAATGATTCCTTTTGCGAAAAATAAAGAATCACTGTGAAAAGTAGAAGGTAAGAGTTCCAAAATAGCCTGAGAATAGAGGTGTGATAGAGCGGTATTTTACCGTATTTTCATATTGCTGCTATATAGGGAGGGCTAGGAATTGTCAGCGGACATCGTCCGGTCAGAGACAGTTCCTAAAGGAACTAGCTTGGACCCTGCTTCATTTTCGCACATAGAAAATTGAGGAATTGTTGCCCATTGTGGAAACGCACTTGTATAGGTATTAGAATATACATGTATTATAATAAATTAGTTCTGTTCTAATTTTATGTCATATGCCAATATTAAAAAGAGCTGACGACCTAATTTACTTCTTAAGAAAAGAAATAATATGTTATTTTAAAAGTATACTTAAATAACATTTCTATTGTATAGTGATTTATTTACCTTTTTAAATATAACCCGACATGGTAACTTAAAACGCTTTAGCCCGTAGACGTTAATTACAATTTATAAGGTCAATTTAAAGTGTAAAACAAAGAATACTGCATGGAGACAGGTGATTAAAGAAATATATAAGACAATATGAAATAGATATAAATGGGGGGTAATTAAGGTGGATTAAGATCCATTAAGATATTGTTTACTGAATTGAGTAATACTGTGCGGATTAGCACAACGTATTAAACATTTACTATCGGGTCGTAATTCACCCTACTACAAAATTATACAGACTAGATATCAACAACATTAGGGCATGTTCGATGTAGATTTCATGCAGGGCAACCTGTTGTATCACATTCTTGAGACAAAAAATTACTCAGATTTTGACTCCCATTCCCATCCGTTCACTAAGTTTTGTTGACTTCATTCGAACTGAGTTTGATCAGAATCTATTTAGTGTATTATTATTGGAAATCGTCAAAATGTCTACACACTTCCAATAACAACACAGTTTTATTTTTCAGTTATTACGGAATGTTTATGTGGTTTCCTGAGTTATTTTCAAGATCTGAAAATAGTGTGGGCTCTGTTTGTAGCTACAAACAAACAACTAATGTGACCGACAGTTCAATTATAGATGATCCTGATTGTTCTGGACCACCTAATATTGTTTATATACAAACATTTATTATCATGACTGCTTCATTGGTTGGCTCTATATTACCAATCATTTTATTAGACAAAATTGGTCGTAATATTCTACTTCGTAAGTTTTTCTTACATTGTGAATTTATTTTATGGTGTATTGACTCTTAAAAACATATAATTTAAATCCGATCTTCAAATATAAAACAAAGAATCTTTCCACCCATTATTAATTTGTTTCTAAATTATATTCTAAAATCTAAATGTATGAAATTGATGGCCATAAATATTACTGCCGAGGCTAAATAGACGCGTGTGTACAGACAACTTTACGCTCATTTTCAATAGAAGGCTTGATCTCGCTTTAACTACGTAGGTCTACATCTTATCATCTTATCCAGATGTTGTAAAACTCGCAGTCGTTGCTTAGGGAACATGCTTTACGCTATGCTTTCGTGCTTTTTGTCGGGTTTTATTCCAACAAGTATATCTGCAATTTAATTTTAGCTCTTGGAAAAGTTTACAAATGTTTACATCAGGTCATTATTGAAAAAAAAAATATAGAAGTTACTTAACTCTACAAACAGTTCGGTTTTATTTTGATGAGGTGGTCAAAACCCGTAAGTATGTGTGCTAACAAAACTTGTACCTACTTGTCTCAGTGTTGAATCTCAAATGACAAAGAGATACTGATTTGTTTAATATTATGGGTGTGGATACAACTAGGGAAATCCCCTCCTGGTTATTTTATATGGACACATTGCGGGATTTACTTGGTGAGATACATACAATGCTTGAACATCACCCTCGGGAGCAGGGAATAAGCTAGACAAGACACTGAGTCAGCTTTCAAATGATTTTGCTCTAAATGCCTCACGTATTGTGTACACGTGGGATCTTAGCTTAACAACATGTCTTCATTAAAATGTAAAGAAGCTGCTTCAGACATATTATAATGAATAAAACTGATAATTAATTCTGTGTGAAAAACTCATTACCGTAATATATTATCTGGAGTGTTCATGCTCAACCTAAATAATCTTTCTTTACAATTTAGGAGTTATGTTGACAATTTTCGGTTCATCCATCTTTTTCTTGTGGTTAGCAAGAAGTACAAACAGTATTCTTATTATTAGCTGTGTGTTTACGTTCTGCTCTACGGCAATCTGGTGTATTCTGGATATTCTGCCCTTGGAAATGTATCCAACAGAATTAAGGTAAGCTCTCTCATTGCGTCTATGCCAATTCATTCATAACCATATGATAAAGGAATTATTAAACCTCTTAACTCAATATTATCCATAATCTTCGACATTAAAAACACGAATTAGAATTAATATTGGTCCATTTCAATCAATATTGATGTTGTTCTCTTACCGTGAAAATATGGGCTCCTGATATCCAATATTTAAGAGATAGCGAACATTTTAAAATCAGTAAGCAGCGTCGTTTTCTCTATACATGTAGTCTCAAGCACCATATGTAATGTGGCTCCTTGGTGACGGTATAAAGCATAATCACTTGTTAGTAGTAGTAATGGTGGCTGAATGAAGAAAATAATATATGTGAATTGAAATTAAATATTTCATGTGGGGTTCTCCATAAATAGTATTGATAGATGTCACAGAGTTTGTAAAACCTTGACGGAAATCAAATATTCAACCTCCCTGGCTGACTTAAATATGCCACATGCCTCCCTTGGGCTTGACACAATTTAGTACATTAAATTTGCATTTCTTGGTCATTTTTGGGGCCAATGTATCATCTCAATTTCATTTTAAAACACAGTTATGTGCAGCACACTAATTTTATAGTGTAACTCTCTGCTATTAAATTACATCTTTTTATATCTAATTTGCAACAAAATTTTGAGATTAACCACCATATTAGTTAGAATTACCTCCCTTCATGGAACTGATTTTATTATACCACTTTTCTGTTGCACGAGGACCCAAAGCTACCCAGCCCGCCCCAGCCTGCAAGTATTGTCTTTGGGCACGGTACCTGTTAAGATCCACAATTATTTATTATATTTCCATGAAATTTAATATCAACACCTAATATAAACTTCATAGCCTTGTGCTTATGGGGCGCCGTTTGTAAAATAATTTTATAGCAAAAAACATTAGATTTAACTACGAATATATATAATTAGATAAATATTAGAACAAAAATGGCATATATGTAAATATAAAAAAAATATTGTAGCTAAAAGTCGAGTATTTGGTCTATGAAAAACATTAAATGTTATATCTTGATTTCACATCGCTTAGTTATATATATATAGCTAAATGTGCTGTTTTTCGTAGGTATAAATGCTAAATACTAAATCACTGAAAAATCTAAAGTTAAATATTTAGCTAAATATATAAACATTTAGCTAAACATTTAGCTAAATATATAAACATTTAACTAAATAATAAAAAACATTAAACTAAATATATATATTTAGTTAAATATATAAACAGTTAACTAAATATATAAATATCATGCTAAATATATATGTTTAGCTAAATGTATAAATATTTAACTAAATATATATTTGTGGTCCCGCCAATATTTCTATTATCGTAAGCGACACAAAAAACTGCGCATAAAATGATGACGTGTGCCCGACACGTGAGCCTTGGCACAATAGGCCTACTATCAATTAGAAATGGAAGCTGACCACGAACTTGTAACCCGAATCACGGCCGCGGTACTCCGTGCCGTTCGCACAGATCAAGGCAATGAGGACGTCCTCTACGTCATCGTTTAGTGTGAAGTCGCTTACAATAATAATTATTTTACAAACGGCGTGGTACGGCTGCGCTTTGTAAATTTAACTATATGTTTAGCTAAATATATAATTATTTAGCTTAATATATAATTATTTAGTTAAATGTATAAATATTTAGCTAAATATATATTATGTTCAATATTGAGTTTTTGTTGTATTTTTAGTTTAAATATTAAAAGTGAAAAATTTGCACAAAAGTCAAGATTTAACTTTATATATAAATTTAAATTAAATCTAGTGTTTTTTGCTATATAAAAAGCTAAATAATTAATTTACAAACGTGTGCTTGGTTATCCAATGGTTGGTAGTTCTGGCTTTAACGTGTTATCAGTTTTGAGAAACTCACAGATCCCTCCCCCAATTACAAGAAGAATTGTTAGTTGTGTGCATGAGAAGTGGCATTGGGTGTTCTAAATATAATAAGCATACCTTGTTGCCTGTACAAGCACAACCCCTGACGCAGGTACACATGTATAAAACAAATCATTCTAGGCCTAATCTATAGAAATGAGGTTTAATTTTCTACTTCTCTGCATGGACTGGGCTAATGAACACATGAGGGAAATTTTGCCCAGACTGCGTCAATGGTTATTTTGGGGGCGTGCTAATCATTACAAGTGGGGGGGGGGGGGTGTACGTCTATTTATCTAAGTTGGAAGATTAATAGTTTGTTTATTTTTTTTTTCTATTTTACCTTTCAGATCAACTGCTATGGGGGCTATACTGGCTTTTGTTCGATTGTTCGCTACACTAGCTAATGTGACATTTGGCACATTAATGGACAGTAACTGTTCTGTTATTATATTGCTAACATCAGGACTTGCACTTATTGGTGGACTAGCATCTTTAAAACTAACAGATATGACAAAAAAAGATATAAATTAAATAGTATGCCCTACCTCCTGCTAGACATTTCCTATTAACGCTATATTATTTTTCTATAGTTTAGTTTTTCTGCCTCCTATAGCATCACTGAAATCAGATGCAATTAGAGGGTTTGCAGGCCTAACTAACTCAAGAATATTTCTGCATTTAGTATAATTTTTGTACAGTTTTAATTTTAACCTTTAGTACTGATTTTGACATTATTATTATTTAAAAAGTAGATAAATGCTATTTTTGAAGATTGGAAACTTACTTCAGTTACCGGTACATTGAATGAAGATGTCATAATGCTCATTGGAAAATGCTGATAAAGAACTTCAACCACAGTACTGTGAAATACGTTCCCAGAAAAGTATTTATCTGGTGGTTATTTCCAATAAAAGTGTGGCATTTTCGTATATATGGAAAGTAAAAATATCCAATCTTACTAGAAAATACTGGATTCCCCGAAAAACACTCATGGAGCGCATACAGGACACACATGTAAGGGTTTCCCAAATCGACAGCCCTACGATTAGGAATGCCTGCTCGCGTGACGTCAAAGGTTGAGCGCTTGATGTACATGTTGATAAATTTTATGAAGAGTTAGACGTACAACACTTTTGGAGATAAAAATTACGGAAAAAGACGTGGACAGTGGATAATCCGAGAATTTAATTATGCAATGTGTATGCAATGAATTCTCCTCCGACTTCGCACCCGTTGCTAGGTAGTTCGTCAGCGAAGTCACGTGACACAAACATAACCTCTTTTAATATTTTTTTTTTTTTTTTATAGCGGGGATATTCCATCGCGTAAACATTGTTTTGAGAAGGATTTGAAGCAAAATTTGGATAGATTAATTAGTTTGAATATGTTTTTAGTTCAAATACATCACAAAATCACACATCTTGTACACGGGAACGTATCTTTAAGGGTAGGTGGGGAAAGGATAAAAGTGTCGGGCAAAACACTCAACACACACCATAGTTCAGCTCTATGAGACCTAGGTTCAGAGCTGAACTACATACACCACAGCGTTTTCATATCCCCTATGTATTGTCTGTCTATTGTGCATAATAATTCTTTATCACCTTCAACGTAATATTTATTTATGCGTTCACTAATAAATTATTTATGGCTCAAACAAACATGCCTTGTTATTACAGTATGCATATGGAAATAGATTTATGAACTCCAGTGGTTTGTTACCAAGTTGCGCACATATAGACGACAGAACTTCCTGGACAATCTATCTGGCTGTATAATTTACTACAGACCAATGAATGATTATAGTTAGTTATGGAAAATCACTTGAACAATTACCATGACTTTATGTAATACACAACATAATTCTTATTCAGATATGATTTATCCTAGTATAGATGCATATATTTCTGTGGATTATGTTCACCAATAGGTAAGTCATGGTGAACATATCATTTACTAGTTAAAAGATACATTCTCAAGAAAGTATTTATCGGGTGGTTATTTCCAATAAAATTATGTCTAAGTTGGTATAAATGGAAAATAGAGACTCCCAATCTTACTAGAAAAATACCAGATTCCCTTAAAAACACCCACGAGGCAAGCAATAGGTATGGCAAATGGACAGTAAGTAACAACATTCTGAAAATGGGCCCTCCCTCAACCAAGTTACATGACAAATATGGCTTCTAAAAATAGATTTTTTTTATATCTTGGGGTATTTCCTTGTGAATAAAATGTTTTGAGAGGGATTTGATGCAGATTTTTAATAGATTAATTAGTTTGAATATGTTTTTAGTCCAAATATATCATCAAATCACGCAGGAAGGCATCTTTAAAGGTAGATTATAGTCCTATAAAAGGTTAACAAAGAAAGTAATAACAAATGGTAATGTTCCTATCCACTGATATCGGTTTGGTTGAACACTTTGCCAAAACCATATTCTTTAAAATAAACAAATTCTCAAGTAGCATCACAAAAAGCTTTATTCTGGAAGCGCAAATATCGCTGTTACTTTAGCATAGTAGTATTAGAAGATAGATTATATATGTGTACAGGGGGATGTAAATCCACCCAAAGCACTTAACAATGACAGTAACATATACATAGAGGTTGCACAATACATTAACTAGAGAATATATTAACTATAAAAAGCAATAGCCTTAGAGACATCAATTAAATGTAAAATCATATATGTATGTAAATATTATATATATATAAGTCTAAAACGCCTGGCATTTTTTCTACATTAACAAAATACTATGGAATAAGCACTATTGTTCTGAACAATATGAGACAAATAATATAATTGAAATTGTATGGCTAAATGATGTGGTCTGATTAAACTTGCGGTACAGCTAGATTCAAGAATATTACAGAAAATGTTAAAATGATAAAATGAAAGGTAGTATTATTCTTTGAGAAAAATTATTACCATATAAATATCTTTTATGAGTCTCTGCACCTGAATAACATTTTTTCAATATTATAATAAAATATCTAATATTTGTTAAGATATTCATTGATTCAAAGAATTCAATCCATAGACTTTACTTTCTGTCAATAGGGAAGAATCTTTCTTTTGAAAATTTTTAAAAATACATAGTTTTTAATAATGCAGTGGTTAATCAAGTAAACTTCATATTTGCTAATAAACTTAATTAAAACAATTTTTCCTCTTAGAGGTCTAAACAAAATAAAACAAGAAAATTATAGAGAGCGGACTAAACATACTGATACTGTAAATATACTGTATAAATTAAAAGGTATTCAATAGATAACAATTGCCATTATACATGAATACTAATTCTAATAAATACAAAATTATTTATTTTAGTTTTTACATTAGCATTAATTATGTATTGTTTAATGGTCGAGAGCGAGACATTAAGTAATATATTGTAACAACAAGAGGGCCGCAGGCCCGAGTGTTTTTACAATATATTACGCAATATCTTAAGCTTGCGACCATTAAATGAATTAAAATACAGACACTCCGCACGTGCTTTTACAGTGAAATACATCACGCAAGTCCAATATTTTACTAAATAATGTATGATTGGCAAGTTGCACGTACGATTATTTGAAATAAAGGTATGCCAACATCAAAGGGTGATGTCACATCTGTATTTTAATTGATGTTAGTTTTCAATAAATAGTAACAGACATTATAATAGACATGTAAACTGATATTATACGAGTAAGTACTAAATTATAAATGTCAATATGTTTGCCAGTCTTTTAATTACTGCGAGCATCAGACATAAAGGTCAAAAACTCATTCATGGCTTTAAAGTGACCTTCCTTTATAAATCTCAGTCAGAAATGATTGAATTAAAGATAGGTTGCCAGGCAACAAAACATACGCCCTCAGCAGCTAAATCGTCCGGGCAGTCAACAAGAGTTGTCGCATATTTTTACTTTTTTCGGTACTTAAACATTTATAATACATTAAAATCTGATTAAGAGTAACAACTCATTAAGTAATTATCAGAAAATCATTAGAATTTGTTTGGTTTTTATAAAGTTCTGCCCCATGCTAACGTTAAGTATATGAAAAATTTAATATCATGGATTTAGCTGTTCAATTCATCAAAATTCATTGAAAATCAATATACTTTTTCGTCTAAAGACCTTAAACTCTGTGTATCAATCTGAAGTCAAACGGATAATAACTTTAGCCTCTAGACAGTCATAAGATTTTTCAAAGTGATCAAGGGCCATAACTTTGACAGTAATTATCAGAAATCTTTGAAAATCAATAGGATTCTTTGTCTCATGACCTTAAACACTGTATAAATTTGAAGTCAATCGAATATTATCTTTCGCTTCTAGAGTATTCACAAGACATTTTGAAGTGATCAAGGGCCATAACTCTGGCAGTAATTATCGGAAATTGCTGAAAATCAATAGGCTTCTGCGTCTCATGACCTTAAACACTGTGTATAAATTTAAAGTCAATCCGATATTAACTTTAGCCTCTAGAGCATCCACAAGATATTTTGAAGTGATCAAGGGCCATAACTCTGGCAGTAATTATCAGAAATCGCTGGAAATCAATAGGCTTCTTCGTCTCATGAGCTTAAACACTGTGTATAAATTTAAAGACAATCAGATATTAACTGTAGCCTCTAGAGCGTTCACAAGATCGTCCATAAATCGGGCAGTAGTTATCAGAAATCGATGAAAAGCAATAGGCTTCTTCATTTCATGACCATAAACACTGTGTATAAATTTAGAGTCAATCGGATATTAACTATAGCCTCCAGAGCGTGCACAAGCAATTGTGGACGCGGGACGGACAGATGGAGGCAGGGAGACAACAATATACGACCAAATTTCAATGTGGGCTAAAAAAATTGCAAATTTTCATCATTATTAAGAACTGTTCTTAGCAGTAATGTAATCCATGCCTTATCATTGACATTTGTCTGAACTATGCCCTTACATTGGCCTTACAACATTTTATAACTTTGGACTATAATGTGTAACTATATATTTCCAACATAAATTAATTTAAAACATGACACAATAATATGGAATACAATATACTTGGATGTTTATTTCAAGCCATGTTTCAACAAGGGTTTTCTCAATAAAGCAAGTAATTTAAACAGAAAAGCCTCTTAAATCATATTTTAATAAGTCTAGCCTATGGCTGTAAGTAGCATATGTACCATCTTTTACAACATCATGATAATAAAACTTTCCTGAATCTATCCTATGTAATATACATCTATTCAGAATCTAAGGCTGTGCTCACATGGAAAATAGTTTGGTGAAAATTCCTAGGGCAGGACACCACCACAGTGTAATATCTTGGACAAATTAATCTTTATTTTTCTTAACTGTCTGAATTGTTCCAAAGCATTTCTGCCAGTTCAGAGTCATAATGATTAGGCCCAGATTTTGTCTGTTCTTACAAAAATTCTAAAACAAATAAAACCAGGCCTTATCATTGACATTACCCTAACCATCAAAATTGCCTGGAAAGCTGATAGGGAAAGAAAAATGACATTTTGAACTAAAGGAAATCTGTAGCCCACTAGCATTTCACAAACTATTTGGCAGTATGTGAACAAAAATTATTAACTGCACTTTATTATAAGAGGTTCAGGATAATGTTTGTGAACACAGCTTAAATCATTGAAAAAGATTCACTACACACCTCACATATAAATCTTTAAAAGATAAGCTGTATTCATATATCAATTATAACTCATTGCATATCTATTCTTTGTTATCTACAGATATAAGAGCATATTATGTATATATACACACCTAGTCTTTGCAATTCTCTTATCACAACAGGATTTTCATTATATCACTCTGAGTATAAAAATAGCCTCTAATAAAGACAGAGAACAAGGGTAACAAATCTATTCTACAAGAAAGCAGCGATTTTTTTAGTGTGCAATGCTTAAATAATATTGCACATAAGGGAGTATATATAACTGTATATTCTTTGATCGGACGGGCTTGTCACACCATACTTTTACTACATATACAAATATTAATCTATATAAGCACTGATCTGCACAGCAAAGTCACCAGGTTGCACAAAAAAAAAGTTTTAAGGATCATCACCATTTTCAACAAATATAATCATTTTAACATCCTTAGTGTTTGAAACAATTTGACAATCATATAATTTGGCCCCATATATCAACTTCAGACTTTGGTGGTATCATTTATATAATAAACAACATTTAATTCTTTTATAGTATTAAAGAAAAAAAAATCTTTTAAAACAAAATTACTATAATTATACATACATGTAAATGCTTTTATAAAGCCACAATGAAAGCACAATAAAATTCTATGATGCATATCTATATATTTATCTATCTATAGAATTACAAAAAATACAAATATATAATAAGAAATGCAATTAATAAAAAAGGTCAAAATTTCTTTGGTCAGTCATGTTTTGTGACATGTCATTAATTTGGTAATAAGATTAAATTTGGCTTGAAAAGTTACAAGGAATACATGTATGTAACTTGATGTGGTTGTAAGGGTAATGATCAGGGGTTTCTTGTGTATAAAGATGCCCTATTAATCACAATTCATAGTCTACAGGCAACTATTGAATTATGATGCCTGCTATAGTGCATGAAAAACTTTTTCTGAACATGAGAATCTTTTTGAAATCTAATTTTG